TCAAACTCTTAGCCTAGCAACATTGACTGTATAAGTCTCAGTTCACTTGCACTTTAGTAAAGAGGTCCATTCAAATAAAAACTTTAATAACAGAGTTTGGTTCCGAGTTATTGCTAAATTTTTATAGGAAAGAAAGGAAGAAAAGGAAGAAAAGGAAGAAGGAAAGAAAGAGTGAAAGAGAAAGAAAGGGGAAAGAGGGAGGGAAAGAGAGAGAGAAGAGGAGAGGGAGGGAAGGAGAGGGAGGGGAGGACAGGAAGAAAAAATAATTAAAGTATACTCTTTGTGGAGGCTCGTGAACTTGCTAAAAACTGTAGACCCTGTCTTTAGAAAGAGACAATAAGTATATAACGTGCATATTATTTTGTACTGAATTTTATTTGGGACAATTTATGGATCCTTGAACCTCATCCGTGGACCCTGATCAAACCCCTGATCAAGAGCTCACAACTTAGAAAAATAAGAAATCACATAAAATACAGGCTACAAGTGAACACCTGATCCCGATGTCCTCTTCCCAAGCCTCTCCTAACATCTGACTTTATGAGTCAGCTACATTTCACTTGGAAGCACCCATAGGTTATTTTCTTTAGAACTAACACTGAAATGCCTGGACAATGAAAAACCTAAAACAAATTATTGGAGATAGTACAGCCCTCCATGGTTCTGCTGCAGTAACAGTTCCTAAAGTTACTAAGACTCTAATAGTACAGTAAGAAGCCAAGGGCTTTAGTGTCAGCCCATAGCCTGCCCTCTGAGTCAGGTGACCTCACGGTCAAGTTTCCTATATGAAAAATAAGGATAAGTAAGGGGTAGGATCCAGAGCAGAGATCACTGGAGCAGATTCAGGGAACAGATCCCAAGGTGGGAATAATATGTACCTATAGAACTAAAGCAAGAATTATGTAGGATTTGTTCTATTTGTGTTTAAAAGCTTGGTAGAGTGTTTTTCTTTTTTACCCTACAGCAAACCTCAGGTTACAGTGTTGTATTAAGAGTATAACTATGTTCGATGCAAGTATTAAGTGAACTGAGGAGAAAAGACGGGCTTAGTAAGTTTAATTAATTCTGCCTCTCAATTATCAGAATTTTGAGCTTCATAGGAAAAAAAAATAAACCTTGATAAATGCTTTATTTTAGATAAAGAAAGAATACTTTCTTCTAAATAAATCCAGGGCAAATTGAAATTCATGAACCATAATGAATTTCACTAATTAAAAACAGAATGTAAAAATATTTTCTGGTACTAAATTCTAACATGATTAAAGAATAATCTAAAAGATTTGCTAAGGATTATATAACCCAAATAGGTGACATGGTTGTCTTTTATTTAAAGTGTGACTAACTTTTTAAATTATCCTTTGAACCAAATGGAAAAGGTTTGTGCTTCTAAAATTATTTTTCTTTTATTTATAGCAATATACTAACTTTATGTTTCCTACTTTCTAAACTCACTTGTTAGAATGTTTGATAACTATGCCAAAATAATAACAGTAGTCTCAATCATTAAGCATCTCTGGCATGTCTGCCATTATCTGAGCATTGTGCATATGGTACCAATCATCCTACTGACAGCCTCACAATATCGCACTGTCCTCCTCTGTTTATAAACCAGACCAGTAGGGTTCAGGGAAGTACACTAGGTTCCTCTGTTATGTTCAGATTTAAAAGTACATTTACTTTCTACTGTTTTACAACATTTCTTCTAAGGTTTCATGTGTGAGTTCATAAAGGCATATGCACTATAGTAACAATGACAATGGCAATAATATTGATAATGAGAAAAGAAAGTGTGCACAAGTCCTAACTATAGCAGAATCCCTGGCGCCCCACTCCTCTTGTGTCCCTTCCGTTCCAGCTGGATTCTTGAATGTTCAACCCTAACCCTGCCACAGTGGACAACACTCTCCCTATGGGTATGACCAAAGCTCCCTACCACTGGTCACCACCATGTAGTTCTCCTCTTGGCTGTCACCTCCTTTCTTCCTGTCATGGCCTAAGTCATGTAGCAAGTTCAGAAACCCACCATCCCCACAAGAGCCTGTCCCTCTTTGGCTGTGGCTCCAAGGGCGTGTGTTGAACCATGCTTCAGGAGAGAGTGCAGGGCCCCAGTTCCGAAGCAGCACCTTCACCCTCTTCCAAGCGAAAAGGAAAAGGTGGCTGTCACCTCTAAACGTGCTCAACACTACAGTGGAAATAATTTGAGAGTCATCACTGCATGTGGTTATTTCTGTGAAAGGTCATTACTTTGCAATAGTGAATACCCGACTATTGTTGAATACTGAAGACCTCATATAACACAAGCATAGAAGAACAAGGCCACCATGAAGCAATGGCAACTGAGCTCTAGTGCCCATTCTGGAACTGCTGCTAGTGCTTCCTCACTTAATGATTTGTTCCAACTTTATCAGTCCCATGTATTTGAGGTGATTTGCATACATTTAGATCTCATTTAATGACTAGATCTGAATTAAGGGTTAGGTGTTTTGAGTCAGATCTCATCATGGAGTCACATTTATTCAATGGCAAATACTTATTGAGGTCCTACTATGTGCTAGGAGATAGAGTAGTGAATCAAAACAGAAAAAGAACTTTCTTCTTAAGACAAATATGGTGGTGAGGGAGAGGAATTATAAACAAATAAATCAAAATAACAAAAAATTCAAAGAAGAAAATAAAACAGAACTGAGGGTTAATAGTGATGGGGCTGAGAGAGCTGTTTCAGACAGACCGGTCAGCAGGGGCTTTCTTGGTAAAGTGACACTTGAGCCAGCACCTGGATGAAGTGGGGCATAAGTCTTGCAGAGGCAACAGCAAATGCCAAGGCCTGGAGTGGGGATTGTGCTTGGCATGTTTCAGAAAGTGGTGGGGCAAACACATCAGGAAGAAAAAGAGCAGGAAGAAAGGAAATGAAAATGAAAGACAAAATAAAAAATATGGTATGGGAACCAGGTCAGTTGGGGACATAGAGATCATAGCAGGTCATCTCACAGTGGTCCTGTCTGGGGTTTGAAATGAGTCAGGAACATGTTTGCCACAAAGGGATGTGGTGCCAAAAAGTACTGAGACCTCTTGGCAGGCAAGTCTGTTCAAAACTGTTCAGAATAGGTTAGAAAGCTGCCTTGCTGGCTTAATGTTCAGTCTAGTCCAATTCTGTTGTTGCTTGGGAATCTAATTAATCTGAAAGATTTAGGAAAGTTATTTTTAAAAATATTGTGACTCTTCTGAAAGTGTTGTGGGAAACCTTGAAGATAGGTCCAAACTCAGTACTATGCATATGCAACCTTTTGGGCCATGAAGAATTTACTATTTGATCCACGAGCCTGTATTTTACAAGGGAATCATACATGGGACATGAGGTACAGACATTTCTCAGTCTGAAAGAAACAATAACACAAGTATGAAGGTCAAAGTACATGTTTAGATTTTTTTATTAAAGATAACAGAAACCAAGCAAAGGTAGCTTTTTAAAAAGTGAGAGATAATTCATTATAAAGACATACAGTGGTTTCCAGAATTCAAGGGTAGAATAGCAGCCTGACCTTAGAAATGGCTGATTCTGAACTCAAAAACTGTCAAGATTCTCCCCACCTCTCAGTTCTGTATTTTCCTACTCATCTACTTCATTCTCAGCTGCCTCCACACACAGAAGAGACTTCCACTGGCCATACTGGGATCAGTTGTTAACTCTTGGTTCAATCAATTATAACCAAGGGAAAATGGCTATCAGAGCCTACTCCTGAAAGCCACTCTCAAAGAAAGTGATAGATTGGGCAGACATACGACGAAGCCAACCATCTACATATTTATTTTATTTGCATACAACTTTGAGAAGTACTGCTGGAAGAACTCCTCTCCTAATTCAAGGGGTTATTTTTAAGAGGTGAGATATGATGAGGCAGGCCAAAAAAATACGTAAAGAAAAATCACACAATTAAAGCATTTTTCTTGTGACTTGTGTTTTTAATGAGAACATTTCTCCATCATGCTGACATGTTATAAAGGGGGGAAAAATTGATTTGAGTAGGAAAATCTGGTTTAAATCTCAGTGTTATCAGTTAATGGTCAAGTGACTATGAGCAATTTACTCTTATTCTCAGCTAAATGAAGAAGTTGGACTAGATTCTTCTTTTTTTTATTTATTTATTTTTTTTAAGTTGGAGTCTCACTCTGTTGCCCAGACTGGAGTGCAGTGGCCGCTCCCGGCCACCGCAGCCTCCACCTGCTGGGCTCCAGCAATCCTTCCACGTAGCCTTACAGGCGCGTGCTACCACGCCTGGCTGATTTTTTGATTTATTGTAGAGATGAGGTCTTGCTGCCCAGGCGGGTCTCGAACCCGCGGGCTCAGGCAATCCACTCACCTCAGCCTCCCAAAGGGCACGGGATTACAGGCTGAGCCACCGAGCTGGATAGATTCTTCTTAAGGTCGCTTCCAGATACTCTTCAGTTGTAAATATACTTCCATTTAGTGACAAGTAACTGCTTAGGGACTTGTTTTGAGTTAAAGATACATAACAAAATGGTTGAAAAAGGTTACAGAATTCTACAGATCTGCGTTTGATCTTGGCCCTGCCAATGTTTCACACTTTGACTTAATGTTAGTTGATAAGTCGGTAAACTTCCTAAACTCAAGTTTGCTTATTTGTAAAATGTAGGGGACAGTGACTACTTCAGAGAGTTGAATAAGAAATGTACTGTATTTCCTGACACTGTAAAAACTCAATTCTTGCCATTGTTGTCAGACAGTGAAAATTCCTAAACTTGCCTATATCTTCTTTTATCACTTTGAATAAGTGTGCTAATAAGGGAAATTACACTGTAGTACTGTTTCAAAGTACTTGTATGGCATGGACAAATGAAAATGAAATGGGATTAGAGTTTGGAAAAGTCTAGGGAGGTATCGTACACAAACAATTCCTCCATTTCATTGATCAACTCATTCCACCATTGAATAATTTTTAGTCACCTTCTAAAATGTGACTTTATCATGTCTTTCTGGGCAGATGTGAAAGTGTGGAGCTGGATAATAAAATCCGGGATCTGATTGAGAGAAATGCTTCTTCTGATCCAAAAGGGGTCACCCTGGAGGCCATGCCAGGTCACAGAAATTCATGTTCTCCAAAGGTAAGAAAACACATTCTTTCTACTGCATCTCAACATACACTTCAGCAGTTTATTCACCGAGAAGAATCTATGGGGACAGTCCCCAAATCATTTACAGTCAGTTGTGCACTTCCTTGTTGCTATGAGTATAAAGTGAAGCAGTACAAAACTTCTCTCACACAGTCACTTCCTGCTACTAAGGAAATCCCTCAGCAGAAGTCACCTCCCAGTGTAAAGTGTGCAGGCAGTTGTCACTACACGAAAGCAAGAATATCACACTATATCAGAAAGGTTGTTTAATATAGTGACAGCTCTATATTGAGGAGGAAGTAAACCATTTTAAGCAAACCCGTTTAAATTGGATTATTAAAATCAGCATAACCCGTGTCATTTTTTTGTAGTTGTTTTTCCTTGTTCTAAGGAAACACAGGGTTTTACTGATTAAAGGAGTTGTTTGACTTTGAACTTCCTCTTGTTTCAGGATATTTGTCCATGGTACTTTAAATAAGCAAATAAAATTCAAGGGTACATTTGAGCTAGGAATTTTGTGGACCACTTTCTAGAAATGCATCATAAATGACAACATAAGCTCTTAAGTTCTGTAGCCCTCTCGATTAGAAACAATCTGTAATGATTATCATACACACACACACACACACACACACACACACACACACACACACCACACACACACACAAAACAATGTGAATAGATTTGAGAGCACGTCTAGCACTACAAAAAAGTAAATAATTTATACTTTCACTTAAAAGTGATTTCAGTTCTTTTCAAAGTTATTCATACTTATTGTTGAAAATGTATATGGATAAACAGAGAAAACTATAAAAGTCATGCAGAGACAGATTTACAGTGGAGATAGTGGAACTTGAGCTCCTTGAAACAAATATTTACTTTTACAACCAACTTGTATCCATAAATTTGTGTTTTTTTCTCTTAAATTTCCCCAGAATTGTAGAGGGACTCAGGCCTCATTAAACATGGATCTGCCTCTGAAGTCACCAGTAGGTGTACCACTTGTAGAGAGCATCTCTTAGCATTTGGAGTGTCTCTGTTTCTTTCTCTCTCTCTCTCTCTCTCTCTCTCTCTCTCTCTCTCACACACACACACACACACACACACACACACACATCTGTTTTGCTACCTCACCTTTTGAACTTAGTATGTTGTGGATACTCCTGTGTTGTATGCACTCTGCATGCAGGCACTTGTTCCTGTTTAAAAACTCACTTCCTGAAAAGTCTGTCTTTATTTTCATAGTTACAAAAGAATGTTTGCTAGTAATTAGAGGGTCAAAGAAGGTTTCTTTCTCCCCTTCCCTTCTTCTCATCCCAATTCCCAGCCCTCATGTATACACTTCTAACTCCCAACTAGAACTTTATTCCTTCATGGAAAAAATGTGTTTTTTCCAGTGACCTTCTTGTCTGATCCCAGCAAAGTTTCATGGTGCTCATTTTAATTCCCTCCAGTAACCTTATCCTCATATTCTCTGATTAACATCCTCGAAGATCCATTTGCTTATGACTGACCCCTCACAATTCTGTCTTCTAGATCCTTCCCTGCATGATAAAAAAAAACCTCTTCTACCTCCTTATTACCATTCTCTTGGTAACAAGTTCTATCTCCTTTTGGGAATTAATCGAAATGTGTGTCTTCCTCTAAGACACTGCATCTTCTGTCACCTCATGATGAAATTTGCTCACTCTCCTACACCATATTTCCAAGCAAAGAACAGCAGATTCTTAGTCTATGTGTTCTAACTTGCTTATGAAGTATATAAAGACAGCGAACGAGAGGGTAAGAAATGAGATTCAAGATTTAAGGGAATCTGGGAAGACACAAAATAGCCATTGCCGGCAAGAAGACAGGAGAGGTGAGTAAAACTAGAATAAGTTGCTGAATATCAGTGAGGACCAAGTTCAGTTTGAAAACCACCACAGTATGATAAGACTACTCATTAAGCAACACTGGGGTTTCAGTGTCTTCAACACCTCTCCCCAGCTTAGATTATACACAGTTCCTCTCCACTTTAAATATCTACGAGGTCTCACATTATTTTATGGATAATGTTCTTACTCTTACACACCACAGCCATGATTACAGTGTCCAAGGCTTTCCCTCCCCTATCATGCCACTAATGATCTCCCTCTGGATAAATCCAGTGGTCACATAGGCTCTCACTTTTCACTTGTCTTCTTATTTGCATTTTACATGACTCGCTAATTCAACTTCCTTAAGCTGTCTTACTCCATTGACATCTTTGATATTAACCCCTAAACATCTTGTCGCCGCCCCTTTACTTATCTGGTCCCTCCTTCTCACTGACCTTCACTGGCTTCCTTTACATCACCTGCCTGCATTATATTAATGGTACTTGGGGATCATAGTCCTGGGTTCATTAAACAAGACATGTGACAAAGATGACTCCAGACACGTGTACTTTCTAAACATATGATTCCTTTCTAAATGCACTTCAATACATTTCACTCAGTATTTGTAAAAGGGAATTCAATATCATTCCTGCTATATCTGCTTGTCCTCTACCCCCACAGAAAACACACACATTTTCTGTGCTGGTTAATGGATCATGATTGACTCAGTCATTCAAATTTGAGCGTAATCCTGGGTTCCTCCAGGGCTACAATAGTACATGACTCCAGGTGTCACCATCCATAGAATAGTGCCCTCTTTCCTCACCCTGAACCCTGCCCCAAAGGTCTGGCCTCTTCTATCTTCATAATATCTTTGAATTTTACCCCTTTTCCTTTTTTCTGCCAGCATAGATCTTGCTAATTTAGAAGTGTTTAAAACTTAAAAGTAGGCTATCTTTACCTACGTTATAGAGTCCAAATGCCTTTGCATCCAGCCTCTGCACACATTTAGAACAAAACACTAGAAAGAGAAGTCTAATATCTACTGGGCATCTATCATGATAGTTATTGGGGGTACATATTTTATGTTGTTTGATATCTAACACTTAAATATGGCTATGTTTATCCTTGGTTTTCAGATGAAGAAATTAAGATTCTTAAAAATTTTGTAAATGCTGCCTATATTCACAACATTGTGAAATGCTAGTCTTAGGATAGAAAACCAAGCTTGTTCATATTTTTTCTACAGAGTTATGTTGTCTTCTATGTACTCTGCCATTCTTCAAAATGCACCCTATGTTCTAGCCACCTGTAATTCTTTAACAGATCATGAAGCTTCATGTGCTATGTCTTTTGCATGCTGTTTCCTCTTTTTCAGCAATTTTTACTGTGTTTTTAGAAACAAGGTCTCTTTCTGTCATCCAGACTGGAGTGCAGTGACCCAATCATAGCTCACTGCAGTCTCAAATCTGGGATTCAAGTGATCCTCTCACCTTAGCCTCCCAAATAGCTGGGACTATAGGCATGTGCCACCATCCATGGCCATCATGCTATTTACTCTTCATGGAAAATTTTGCCCATTGGATGAACTGTCTTTTATGTCAATTCAAACTTTTCATGCCACCTTTAACCACCCTCTCTAGTCCCACACAGCATTACTCAAGCCTCTCCCTGCTTTTTCCTAAATCTTTATCTTCTTTATACACAATGCAGAGACATTAGCACTTTGGTTTTGTAATCACTTACATACATATGTATTTTCTCTACTATCATGGACTTCTTAAGGGTAAAGTAGAAAGTGTCCCAAAAAGATATGGAGTCTTCTAGAAGGCACCACTAGGAAACAACTTGTGTGATTTCATCAGCCATGGTAATGCTGGATTTATAATCAACGTATTTCTAGAATTCCTCACAAATAATTCTCAGAGACTTCAGGAGAATATCAAATGTACACTCATAGACCCAATCTCTCAGTTCTTGCATGGAAGCCACCATCTGGTCTTGCTGATTCTGTCCTCCTTGAGTTATTGACTATTGATGGTTTTCAGATGCTCACCTGTCCCAGCTGCTTCTAGGTGTTTGCTACACCACGCTCAGGGGCGCCACTGTACTACTGTGCCAAGTGTACTCAATGCGAGAATGTTCTCCAGAGTTCCAAATGCATGAACACTACCGCTCTCCCCACTGGAGTGGAGAGATTTCTTCTCCAACTTTGGCTGCACATGTCCCCAGTGATATCTTACACTTCTAACGTCTGCCAGTATGTCACATCCTTTCTGTTTTCCATGGCTTGGATTTTAGCTCCTGTCTATTAATTGGCTACCCTGGGTCAACACTCTTCAAAGCACTTGTGTGTATTAGTTCATGTAATCTTCACCCCTCTACAGATGGGGAAAGTGAGGTTCAATGAGGCTAAACAATCTGTTCATGGTCTTACAGCTAATAGGATTCAGATCTGGACCTAAACTCAAATCTGTCCAATGAGAGCCATTGCCCTATACTTTCCACTTTTAATTCCCCTTCACTCACCTAAGAATTATTTGGGGACTGGGTCAGAGCTTCAGCTGGTGTCACTGGTATGATAAGGGTCATTGGAGTAGCTCTTTCTCTCTGGCTTAAAGCACCACACTTAGATCAAACCACTGTGATTTTATTATCTTCCCAGGATAAGGCTTCTGGGAGTTTCCACTCATGATCACAATATACCTCTGGCAGTTCACCTCAACTGTCCTCTGAAGGTATCTTCAAACATTTGATTCCTTGAGTAGCAAGGCTTCATTTCCAACTGGAATCTCTGCTGAGTTCCTGTTTGTACAATAACACTCTACAGAAGAAAATCCTATATTCAGAACAAAACAAAAGCCTTCATGTTCTTGCTGAGATGTTGATAGAACTGAAAAAATATAAGAAAACGTCTGTGTAAGACAAGGGTGGGTCAATGGCAAAGGGGCTGTAGAAGGCTTTTCTCATTTTCACACTGCATGAAGTAAGCATGAGAGTGATAAGGTAGGCTTCCTTTCGAAGAACAGGAAATTAGTTTCTTTATGATTTTATGAGCTGGGAAAGGTATGTGAATAAAAGAGATATGACTTAATGAAAGGCCCTGAGACATACGTCAAGTTCCCTTTTTGCTCA